CGGCCTTTCCGTCCACCGTGGTGCAACTCGAATGGAGTCACGCCGATCGCCGGATGCACCGAAGTGTTGTAGGCGAACTCGATGTCGGGGAGGCGGTCAACCCAATCTTTCTGGTCCAGACGGATGAGCGTACGAAGCATCATTTGAGCGGTTTGATGTGCCCGCTCCGTCTGCCTGTCTGCCTGAGGATGTCGAGCCGAACTTGGTTTCATTGTTGTGCCGGACTCCTGCATGAGAGCAATCCAAAATGCCGACATGAAACGAGTGTCGCGGTCGCTGACAATGTGACAATGTCTTCTGGTACACCGTGGCCACAAATCCAACCCGTGTGCAGGAGGCGTGCCAGCTCGGGAGCCGTGGAGTAGTACTTGCAAGGGAGAAAACGCGCGTACTTACTCAATCGGTCCACCACCGTGAGGATGCCGTCGTGCCCAAGCCGGTCGCGAGGAAACGGACCGGTGACGTCCATGGCAATGGAGAGACCGGGTTCCCGTGAGATAGGCATCGGGTGTAACTCGCCGTAGGGATTGCGGTTGCGGGGCTTGCTGCGTCGGCAAACTTCGCAAGAGTTGCAATACCGAGTGACATCGGTAATGGGGTTGGGCCATCGGAATCGCTGTCGAAGCCGTGCAATAGTGCAGCCGGCCTGTTAGTCGTGATGAGCTCTCTCGCCTTGTTGATGATCTCTGCGAAAGTGTTGTACTGCTCGCGATCACCAAGTGCGAGGCTGAGAGCGGCGCATGACCTGTTGTAAAACTCACGCCGCAGATGCGAAAATGACAAGTCCAAATCGGGCGTCGCTACGATTTTCTGCCAATCCGTGAGCCAGTCCGGTGTCGGTGTGCTCCCTTGAGCCATCGTGAAGATGCGGTTGACGGGGAGTGTCGGGGCGTCGTCGACGATGAACCGCTTCTTCCATTCCTTTGTCATGTCTTCCGAGGAGACCTTCTTGTACAGGTCTGAAACCTGGACGCCGTGGATGGTTGCCATGTGGCTGAGCCAGATCTGACAACCTCCCTTGGTGTTGATGAACAGAGAACTGGTGAACAGATGGTCAGGGTCTTGATGTGTGTAGTCATCAAATTTCTCGATCCGGAACGTCGGCATCTTGTATGGCCTCGCGGAGCTGTTGTTGTGGCTGTGGTCAGTCTGCTGTTGCTGACTGATCTTAGTGTCCAGCAACTCGAACCGCTGGCTGATGGTGGCCGGCTCTGTGAAGACACTTATGTCTCCTAGCATTGCCACGACGTGGTCAACGCGTTCCTCCAGTTGGCGGCTAGAGGATGCACTGCTGGAAGCTCCAGCATCTGGTCCTGGCACAGCCTGTTCCAGGCCCAGTACACGGGCGTCCAGTGCCCGTGTGGCATCCTCGTGCTGACTCTTATGGTTCCGCACGGCCCGCTGAAGGTTTGCCAGCTCGGACTGTAGGTGGTTACATGTGTAAACTAACCTGCTCACGAGCTTGGCCATGAACTCCCTATGCTGCTCTTCCGGTGTTGGCTCGTCGCCGTTTGGTTCAAAATGCCAGTACTTGAGTTTCTCGATGCTGCTGGCTTCATGCCGCTGCAGCAGAGCCTGGGCTTCCTTGCGGCGAGCCTGGGCATCTGCGTCTGCTTCGGCCTGTAGCTGCAGCTTCTCTGCTGTTGCCGCTTCATCAGCCTGTAGCTGGGCAGCCTTGACTGCCAGCTGGCGTTGTTCCTCAGCCTCGATTGCAGCGAGCTGAGCATGGACATGCTTTTTGTAGTCGGCAATGGGCTCATTGGCCAGTTGGCCTGGCAGGCCTGTCATGTTGCTGACGTGGCACTTTGTCTGACGTGGCACTTTGTCTGACGTGGCACTGTGCCTGACGTGGCACGGCTGATGTGGCACTGCTGACGTGGCACTGTCTGACGTGGCACTGCTGATGTGGCACTGCTTATGTGGCACTGTGTCTGACGTGGCACTGCTAATGTTGCACTGATACGTGGCACTGTCTGACGTCACTGCTGACGTGGCAAAGTCTGACGTGGCACTGTGACCTGGCACTGCTGACGTGGCACTGCTGATCTGGCACTGTGACATGGCGCTGCTGATGTGGCACTGCTTACGTGGCACTGTGTCTGATGTGGCACTGCTGATGTGGCACTGCTTACGTGGCACTCTGTCTGACGTGGCACTGCTGATGTGGCACTGCCCTTTCGTGGCACTGTGTCTGACGTCACTGCTGACATGGCACTGAGTCTGACGTGGCACTGTGACCTGGCACTGCTGATGTGGCACTGCTGATCTGGCACTGTGACGTGGCACTGCTGACGTGGCACTGACCTGGCACTGTGACGTGGCACTGTACCGAACCGGGATGCATGCAAGGGTGGGTGGGAGGGAAAACGTAGGTAGGTTACCAACCCAACAATACTTTCCTCCGGCCCTAATCAACAGATAAAATAAAAAATAAAAAATAAAAGAGGACTACTTCCTTTTTTTTTTTTTTGTATATATCTGTCGATTTATGATGAGTAGGATATGTCAGAAGAGTATTATGAACGAGATCTAGGCTAGGTGCCGCAAAGTTTTGGCTTTTACAAACTGCGATCTTGAAAAAAAATTTGCGAAATGGAGTAAAGATGCAATTTTCAGAAAAGAACGAAATCCAGTTTCTGAGAATATAGCAACCTCCGAATATGCCTAACGCAATATTGGTAGGCTTCGCAAGATTCGGTTTTCAAAAAAAAATTTGCGAGATAGAATGGAAATGCGATTTTCAGAAAAGAATAATTTCAGATTCCGAGAAGATGACCACTTCTATCGTTATCCCAATATAAAACGGTTTTCACCTTTAGCAGTAGCGGATGCAGTACCCAGGGTTCGATCCCTAGCCCTCACCTTACCCATGTACAGTATCTGTGTAGGCCCCGGGAATTGAACCTGTGACCTGTGTATTCGTAGGCAGTTGGTAGGCCTGTCGTAGGTCCATAGGCAGCAGGGGTTCGATCTGTAGGTCTATAGCGTAGGAGTCTTAGTGAGTTCCGGAAGCTTAGCTGTAGACCTTTTAGAAGGTAGGCAAGTGGGTAAGTGGTCAAGTGGTGAGGCAAGTGGTGGACTAAACCGCAGTGCAACCGCAGTACAACGTCGGTAGGATAGCAGTGAGTCCAGTCAGACAGCGGAAGGTCCAGTCAGTCCCAGTCCGGTCCAGCAAGTACCATAGGGGGACTGTGAGCACCAAGGGCCGATGGCAAAGGGCAGACCAACGAGTTTCTGAAGTATAAATCAAGAGGCAGCGCCCAGCCATTCATTCATTCCTGCGTGAGCCATGCGGAAGCGCTGCCACAGC